AGTTTAGATAAGAAAAAGCAGGATGGAACCAACTAGAATCAGGACAGAGGGCTGGCTAGGAAAGAGAGAGCGGTTTGGATGGAGAAAAGCCAAAGGGCTTTTATGAAATCAGGTGTTGGGTTCAGCTTAAAGAGTTTTCTGTATGAATCCCGTGTTCAGGTCTTGAGGCAGAACCCAGGCTCGGCATGCATAAAACAGGGAGAGGCCAGTCTCAGGCAGGTGCTGCTAACTGCCGTCATTCTATCAACCCTGACCAGAATCCTACATTATGTACCACACTAAAAGAGAAAAGATTCCGGCTGACCCTAAAGTTCATAGAGTCTGCCAAAGAAATCACAGCTATCAACAAATGCATCATGACGAACATTTTCAACCAAATGTCCCTAAAAGAGGAGCTTAAAGCAGTTGCTATTTTACTCAGGGCCTTAAGAGACCCAAGCTGAGGTAATGGGAGAGAGTTCTAGGTTCTGGTTAGGAAGGCAGAATAAGCTCTATTTCCATAACTTTGCATACAACCTGGAAGTGACACACAGAACTGCCAGGAAGCAGGGCACCAGACCCCAACCAGAGCAGTGAGGCTGTGTGGCTTTGATATTGTTTTGCCTCTAAGGCAGGATTTCCATTATTATGGAGATGAACTGCCTCTAATTATTGCAATAACATAATTGTTCCCCTGGGCAGAATTCCTAATCACAGAGCTGTATAGCTCAGCAGCAACTGTAAGAGATATCCTGAGGGCAGGTTTCTCATTAAGAGCACAAAGACCGACATTCAGCCTCCAGAAGAGAGGCAGAATGCCGGAAGCAATAAACTTCCCTTTCCTTGCTAGGATCCAGAGGCCTTCTGGGAAAATCTCTGCCATCCCTTGGCTCTGCCTCCCAGACTACCAGCATTTTTAGATCTGGCTTTTACACCTTGCAGCCCTATGCGGGGATTTCCTTCCGTGTCTTACACGAATTTCAACTCTTTTCAAGACCTTTGGGAAGACTGGCAAATTAAGGCCATGATCTAATTTCACCTTGAAGGCAGGTGTCAGTGTCTCTCGACAATGCAGGAACATGAATTTTGCTCCTGTTTGGGTTGAATATTTTCACAGAATGATGCCAAGACTTGATCTGATTATACTGGGGGACCTGGCCATTTCACTCTGCAAAGGCGAGGAAAGACTGAGTGAATGCTAAGTGCAATTTTATTGAGTCTTCAAAACTGGTCCGCAGGGCCTTTAAAGTGCTCTGCCTAAGGCCATGTGAAGACTCAGACAGATCAGGAGGCATTTGAGTATTTTGTTTAATGCCTCCAACACCTGCTTCTTTTTGCACTTTTCTGCCCACTTGGCTTCAGTCTGTCACTTTGGGGAGTGTTACCACCTCCTTCACTCTCCAGCTTTCTGATCCCATCATGCAATGCTTCCACAGTCATGCTTCTTCAGTGGATCCACTCATATGCCTTTATGCTTTTGGTAGTACTAGGGTTTGAACTTAGGCCCTTGCATTTTCTAGGCAAGCAACTATACCATGGGAACCATGCTGTCAACCCTTTCCAGTTTGAATGTTCATGCTTGGCTTAATATAGATAAAGCCAGTGTCAACATACATGAAATTGCTAAAGCAAACGGAAAACCAAAACAAGAAAGTTATCAATACACTTTAAGACAATTAACATAGTAACCAGCAACTTGTGCCTCACACATATAATAGTAGGTATCTCTGAAGATTGAGGTTCAAAGCCAGCCTGGGCAGGAAAGTCCCATGAGACTCTTATCTCTAATTAAACACTAAAAACCTGACTCAAGTGGGAGAGGGCTAGTCTTGAGCAAAAGAGCTCAGGAACTAGCACCTAAGCCCTAGGTTTAAGCCCCAGGACCTGAACAACAGCAACCAAATTAACTTGTTAATACTAAGCCAGTGATTTTGCATCTATATCCATGAAATTAACTACAATATCACCGTATGATTAAATAATACAAAACGTTTGAAGTTTTAAAATGCTGCTAGGATTTTGCTATAAAGGATTTTGCTATAAAGCAATATCTAGACAGTTGAAATTTGAATTAAACATAATTTCATAAGTAGAGGTTGGCTACATCTTTCAAAACACAGAATTTATGGAGAACATTAATAAGAAGAAAAGCTGCTTACTCATAAAACTTCTGTTTCACTGTGTTAATTAAGGGATCAACTTTTTTTTTAATTTAAAGGTTAAAAAAATATATATATATGTTTTTCTAGTAGTAGGGCTTGAATTCAGGGCCTCATGTGCTTGCTTGGCTTTTCTGCTCAAGGCTGTCATGCTACCATTTGAGCCATACTTCCACTTCTGGCTTTTTGATGGTTAACTAGAAAGATGAGTCTCATTCATCTGTCTGCTTAGGCTGGCTTTGAACCAGGAGCCTTAGATCTCAACCTCCTGAATAGCTCGGATTATAGGTATGAGCCACCAGTGCCCAACTTCAATGTTGATTTGAAGATTCTACATTTCGAGAGAGTTGAGGAAAAGAAGGAAGTGGGTTAAAACTCCTACTCAACATAGATAACCTTTGTATTGGTCTAGAATGTCAATATTTTCCTCCAGTAGGGATGTTAAAAGTTTTCATTCCTAAGTCCCATTTATGATTGCTTTTCCTCCCTCATTCATCCATTTTCTTCTCTACGAAAAAAGTAGAACTAGTGCCATTACTCCTCTGCCAATGAATAAGCTGCAGCAAAATGTTTCTTGGTTTAGGTGGTTATCATAAATTACAAAATCTTTGGAGGTACTTACATCTTTCCCGGAAGTTAAAAACCAGTGGCCTGACCTTGGAATAACCTTAGTCCATGGCTATATGGTCCATCTTGTACTTAGATCAAAGTTTTAGAAAGTAGTTTTGGACATTAAAAAAGGTAGAACTTCAAATAAAACCCAAATATCTACCTTCTCTTGGAAACTAATATTGGGGTGAGGCATAAGAACTGTGTGTCCATATGGCTGAGTGGCAAGTGCTCCATTATTCCGTATTTTATTATACCTGGCTAGTTATTGAATGCATTGACATAGCCAGATTCAGTCTATTGGGTTAATGCATTCAGAGGGAAGAGCAAAGAGGAGTGGGCCCTGAACAGACAGCGCCCTTGTGGAGAAGGGAGCGTTAATATTGATGATTTATGATTAGCTGGGTGACACTGGAGGTGGAATTGCGTAATGGCTGGGGGAGGATTCTGCCATTTAGTGCCAAATAAGTGCCGGAGCCTATTTGGACCCTACGAATCCCATCAAGAGTACAAAGAACAAAACCTTCATGGAGAAAAGCTCAAAATAAGTCAGGTGGCAGAAACAAGCAAATTCACGCATCCTACAGAATTCTATGCCAGCGGTGAAGCTATAGCAATGAGAAGCAGCCATGAAGATGATTCCAGATATTAGATGCATGTGCGTATAGAGTTCTTACTTCATATAGGAACACAGAAAAATTGTATTTCCCCTCTTGGTATCTGGCCACGTGACTTATTTTGGTCAGTTTAGTAAAGTGAAGTGATTCATTTCTGGGCTGAACCATTAAGAACCCATGCGTTTTAGGCCTTTACCCTTTTGCAATGTACTATTTTGTTGCTTTAGTCCAATATGGATTATTTACAATAGTAGCATAGTTTATTCTCCTCCTTATTGATCTACAATAATTATTCTAACTTCATTCATTCACTGATTTGGATTTCAATTTTCTTTAATCCTTATTATTATTTTCTTACTATTGTATCTTTAAATCATCTTAACACTAAAATCTTTAAAAATGTAGACTTATTCTAAGTAACTCACATAGTATATCCTTGTTAATTTCTATTATGTAAAAAGCAAATACCTAATTATTAAGAGTGATCCTACCAGATTTTGGGATACAATGAGGTAAAACAGAAAATAGATCACATGATTAAGGCTGGCAGAAAAAAAAGGCTCTCCATTTCTAAGTTTGGCTCAAAATTTGAATGCTGTGACAATATTCAGACTTTCATATTGTCTTTCTGATCTACTAGGACTCACAAAATATATATGAACTTAATATGTGTTTAAATATAACATCATAAATAAAAGCAGTCTGGTTTAAAAAAACCATGAGAAAGGACAACATCATCCGTGCAATGATCTAATTTGTATATGCAAATTCAAAGGTGTACAGGTGTAAAAAGGTAGACACACACATTTTTATAGTCTTCTTATTGCATCCTTGAGTACTTGACCTTTAGCATCAATTAAAATAATTATGTATACAGCTGGTAAATCCTGTCTTATGGGTGACAAACACAGACTCATGCATAATCACCATTTTCCAGCAGATTGAATACATTACAGGAAAAGGTAGGCCTATTTTATGGAGGTGACAGCCAAGACAAGGTCTTAGAGATATGCACCCTTTGATACAATCTGATGTCAAACCTGAGGTGAACCACATACATATTTACAGTGCATACACCATGTGATTCCTAAAGGCAATTCATCTGTAATAGGAAAGTTGTGGTTAAAGAGTTTAGACATTAGGAAAAACAACTATTGCCTCAAAGAGATATAACTAAAGTAAGGGGGAAAAGCACAAGGAGAATAAGCTGCTATATACACACCAAGTTTTGGAATTGGAGATATTTGTAATCTCAAACAGAGGGGGAAGAATAACGAGACAAAGTGACCAATGCCAAATATCTGAAGAGTTTTCACAGCAAAGAAGATTCACACTTTGAACATACTAAAAGATGTAGGATGGGGAAGAGTGGTCAAATCAACAGTGGTATTTTAGGCTAAAATTAGGGAGGATATTTCTAGTTCCTCACCTGCAGATAGCTCTGTAAATCTTCCCTCCCTCCCTTCCTCTCTCCTTCTCTCCCTCCCTTGCTCTATGATTTACCATCTCCCTTATACAGATCAAGCCTTAAGCTAATATTTTCTTAGGCATATCAGATAATAAATCCCTTCCTATATTAATAACAAATGAACCAATTATTGCAGGTTAAGCAAATAGAAGTATTTCCAGCCAGTACCTTTCATTTTCTCTGAGTGTCTCCCTTCCTTTCCTCCAGGTGTAGACAGGTCTTGGTGATGCTTTTGGTTTACATTCAATGACAACTTCACCCCCCACTTTGACAAGAGTCACTCTTTTCAAGAGTGTTCTTGAAAAATCGGGACCTTCGGCTGGAAGACAGATGGAAAGTAAAATAATGTATTATTATGAAAGGAAACAAACACCCATAAGATCATTTTGGGGTACATTCCATTTGCTAATGAATCTATTGGGTTTTTTGTTTGTTTGTTTGTTTGTTTTGCTCATCCAAAGAAGAAGCTAATCTGAGGATGAAGGTTCAAAGCCAGATGGGGCAGAAAAGCTAGGGGACATTACCTGGCCTTGAGTTCCAGACCCAGGGTATACACACACACACACACACACACACACACACACACACACACACACACACACACACACACACACACACACACACACACACACGACAATAACCAACCTAGTAAATAAGAAGCAGTATTAACTATAAGTCATGGTTAGAAAGGTGAGCCATAGGGCTGGGAAGGTGGCTCAGTGGTAGAGCACTTGCCTTGCATGCATGAAGCCCTGGGTTCGATTCCTCAGCACCACATAAGCAAAAAGAAAAAAAGCCAGAAGTGGCGCTGTGTGTGTATGTGTGTGTGTGTGTGTGTGTGTGTGTGTGTGTGTGTGTGTGTGTGTGTGTGTGTGTGTGTGTGTGTAGGAATTGATGGGAGAAAGAAACAGTTGCTATTGCCAACTGTGATGTAAGAATAAACTGCAGGAAAGCAGAACTATGTATGCCATATTAAGATTGGGTATCAAATTGTGCCAAGCAGAAGATCATGGGGAAAATGCAATTCATGCATTATTTGTTTCCTTTTCTTGGCTAGCTGTGTTATCTTTGTGTTGCTGTGTGTTCAGCTGCTTCTACTTAGTGAAAGACTTGCATACATTGAGCATTATGTTGTACTGACATAGTTTGTGTTTTAACTGAGCAGATCCTTATCTCAGAAAAGTATCCAAATTCACACACAACACACACGTTAAAAAGTTAGCTCTTCTAGAAAAAAGTTGTTACAAATTATTTTACAAACAATATTACAAATCTTTCTCCTATAAAAATCCCTTCTTGCAAGTAGATCTTCCTACACACATATTTTTTTTTATCACTGTACACAGAGTTTTTTCATCTGCTCAGGAGGAATTCTGCTGTTGCATTTGAAATGAGTTTATATAAATCAAGCTAAGCCCAACACATGGGTGTATTTGTCAAAATAAAACTATATATTGCTTTTAAAATGGGATTTCAAATAGCCTGATATCATTTACACAGTTGAATGAAAACATACCTTGTTTCAAAGTTATTTGTAATTTGCATTTGTGTACATGTTATTGTTTGGCTATGTTAGAGATAAGATAGATGACTGTCTTTTACTCATCCAAATGGAAGGATAAGTCAAGTATTCGCCCTTAATTTACTCAGTTTGTTTCTGAGTAGTCTAGCCCTGCAAGTCTGTCAGCGGTTACCATAGCGGCAGTGATTTCCAGGGCAGATTTAGGGCTTTCCTCAGCTTTGGAGTACTTGAACCATTAATGGGGTCTCTTAACATCCTGCCTCTGGGTGACCCTTGCACACTTGAGCCTATGCAGTTGAAAGGAAATGCTTTGTTCTAGCGTGGGACCCTAAGTTGTTTCTAATCTCAAACACTGCCAGGAATGATCATTTCAAGGAAAAGCCAAGTGGAGCAAGCTCTGCTTGCCATTCACAACTTTAAATTTGATTGGGAAGGTTGCCAGTAGGACAATAGTAGAATCCCATTTGCACTTGCACTGCAAATCCCTTAGTTCGGCAGGTTGCTGACAGTTCAGAAAAGATAAAGCCGATGGTCAAGTGGCCACAAGAACCTGGGAACAGCTGAGGTACCAGTATGTGGGGAGGTGGTGGTGTTGGAATACTGTCATTTGCTAAATCTAATCTGTTTAAAAATGGTATGCCACTAGAGGGCATCATTCCCTATGTGACTTGTTTGATGGTGGAAGTACAACTTTCCAATTATCATTGCCCTTCATTACACCGACTGTACACTAGTTACAAGAAGCATGCAAGTGGGCAAAGCCTTCTATTTAATTCGCAGCAATTTGTTTTTGATTAATTTAATGACTTTTTTTGTTTGCTTCTGTTGCTGGTCCTGGTATTTGAACTCAGGGCCTCGTACTCTTGCTTAGCTTTTCTTTCACTTCAGTTCTGGATCTTTGTTGGTTCATTGGAAATACGAGTCTCTTGGGATCGCAATTCTTGGATCTCAGCCTCCTGAGTGGCTGGGTTTATAATCTAGAGCCTCCCATATCTAGGAATTAAGTGATTCTTCTTCACATGTTAGACGTTATCTTACTTAAGTGACAATAAAACTCGTGAAATAAATTGTATCAATGCCTGAGTTAGTGTGGTTTCTCCAGAGATAGTAAAATGATCACTGGAGAACAAGATGGCGTGTTTTACTAAATAACTGGAGAGGGAAGGGAAACTCTCCAATCTCTCCACGTCTGTCCTGTCATTGCTGGCCTAGGGAAGCATCCCTCGAAACATTCCAGCACATGGGGACTCTTAAGTTTGGAGGTTTTGGAAGTTTACAATTTCATATTACTTTGACCTTTATTATCTCCTTGACATTACCTCATCATTTCATTAAAAAAAGAAGAAGAAACCTAGAGTGAATGCATTAATTCCAGTCTTTCCACCACTGAGGAGATAATGCTACTATCAGAAGATAAAAACCCAAACTTATCCTTGCTTGCCCATAGCTATGGAGAAAGCTGGCTACAGAGCGGTTTCTTCGATTTTAGATTGGCTGTTCGAAAATCTTCCCTCCCCGATAAGGAATAAGAAGCACAAGGAGATCCTGAGCAGAGCTCAGTAGGAGGCATCTGTTCTGAAGTTCCTAATACCCACACCCTATTTGACTTGATTTAATTCACTGAGTGTCTTGTTTCCTGAGCCCCTAATCACCCTTCTGTTAGAGCCATTGATTGCATTTATGTGCTCATGTTCCTTTGGGTGAGTTATTATAAAGTAGAAAAAAGCCCCATAATGTTCACAGTTGTAAGGATGTTTGGGGAATTACATGATAGAATACACATGTTGTACATCAAGTACTTAGCGTAATGTTTGGCCCAGATTAAGTCCTTTATGCCTCTCCTTCCCCACCGCACAACTGTCAGCAAGGGAGTCCAGGGACTTGTCTGCTGCACATCTTCTTAGAGTCAGAAAAGCACATCTTTGTTTGACAAAAATAAGTGAGTAAATAAAATTTGGAATAATTACAGATCTGGAGGAATAATACAGAGAGGTTCTGTACATCCTCCGTGCAACTTCTCCCAATAAGCACATCTTCTCTAAAATCATCATAATATCAAGAGAAAGAAGATGACCGTGGGGGTAAGACAGGTGGATAATTTTATGTTATTTACACATGTAGATTTGAATAAGCATCATTGTGGTAAAGATCAAGAATGTGCCATACAGATTCTCCTGCTGCATAGTCATGTTTTGTTCTTTCCTGGCTACCAATCTAATCCCTAAACCCAACTTCTTTATCTGTATAGTTTGGTTTCATATACACATGCCCATGCATATGTGTGTATACATACACACATGTATATATCTATGTATACACATACATAGATATATATATGTATATATCTATTTTATATAACCTAGATTTGGATATGTGTGCATCTATATCTATCTTTATCTATCTATCCTCATATAGGATATAACCTTAGAGGAGTTTTCCCCCCACTGAGAAAAATGCTCTTGAGCTCTATCCAAGTCGTTGTGCGTATCGACAGCTTCTTTTATTGCTGAGTCGTATATCCTAGTGTGGATAGGAAACACCTCTTCGATGTTGGCATCGCAGGCTCTGTGAAAGCTGCCAAATGCTTTTGGGCACGAGCACCATTTCAAGATCTCTCAGTGCTTTCTCTGCCAACAAGAAAGATCAGGCATAGCCTTTTCCTTTCTTATTTTTTATGAAATGTTTAAAAGCCAAAAATTAATTACATAAATATGAGTAAAAACTCTTTCTTATTCCAAGGAAAACATCTTAAAGCCACTTCAGAATATCATTTCTTACACAATAATTAACATGCTGATTTAAAAAAAAACATTCCCACGTAAGGCCTGAAGTAAGGCTTCAGCTGCTAAACCCTTGTTAACCTCCTTTGATCCATCCTGCCTTTAGAATCATAACAAGACAATATACACCTTTTAAACCTGCAATTGAAATGACCTTCTAATAGCAGTCCAAATTAATGGCCTTTTTATTATATTTGGCACGAGGCCATAAACCTTTATGCAAATCTAATGCTGTTGGTTAGGAAAGGAGTGTATATTATTAAAATGTCCTATTTGCTTATGAGTCACTTTGCTATATAATAGAACTGTTTGCTGAGTGAACAGAAGTGAGCCTATGGGATGTCATAAAGAGGTTTTCAAGGTGTGGTCTTGGACCAGCAACATCAGCAACTTTTACAAATGGAATCTCTCAGGTCTCATCTTAGAACGACTAAATTAGAAGTTCAAAAGGGTAGGGCTCAGCAATTTGTGTTTCCATGTGCTATGTGATTTTGATATAGAAGTAAAGGTTGATTATCATGACTTGTGAAAACTCAACAACCTTTGGATGTGATCCCTTGATCACATCCAAGCTCACACATTTGTGCTGGTCAGGAGACAGAGAAGGAACTAAGTGCCTAGGTCTCAGACACACAGTTTTAGTTGACACAGAGCATTATGTAACGTCATGACATATCACAGCTCATCAGATGATCATAGCCTAGAGTAAAATTTGGTAATTACAGAAACAGGGTAGACAGATGCTGTAGAAATGATGTTACCGGTTTTGACAGTAGCAAACAATATCAAAGAGTTGCTACATTGCTACAAACACTTCTGAGTTTGCAAAAGGTTTTCATGTGTCATCTCTTAGTTTTTATAGCAAGGGGAGTGATTTCATCCTTTGTTTACAGCTAAGGTATCAAAGTGGAATGTGAGATCCCAGCATCATGATCGCCTCTTCAGGACAATTGAGGTTAAGTTTCTGCCCAGATCACTTCATCTGGAAAACAAAGGCATTTGTCCTTTCATTCCATGCTAAGCACACTGGGGGATGTTTGACTGTTTTGTAATCTGGCTCAATGAGGCAGGGGAGGAATCCGACTTAGAGCTAGATGAGCACTTGGGAAAGTCCCTTTGAAATAACTTTTAGTCTATTCCTAATGGTTTTCTAATTTGGGAACCAATCATCTGGATAAATGCCAAATTAACTGGATAGTTGCTCAAGCTTGTGTTGGGCTTTTTAATTGGATCAGCAGTGACTTGTTACTGTAAAGCTTGTCCTGCTAGGGTCAGATGTCCACTCCTGGGGCAGGAGAGCTTCCTCAGGGCCCACAGAGCTGTGCTGGGTACAGGAAGTCAGGGAGACCAACGGGGAGGGAGGAAAGGAAAAAGGCTGACCCATGGAGACTCAGCCACAGACAGGAAGAAAAAACGGCTGTGCCAATGCCCAGTAGGTGAATGACAGATAACAGTGATGTACAAAACTCAAAAGGCTAGAAGCCAGGGTATAGAACATTCTACTCATGAAAAATGATGAGGTTTGATGAGATAGATATGTTTAATCTTCACAGGACAAAATGCACCCATAGGTTGAAGCGGCACATGATACCTCTTAATGGATCCACTTTGTGTATTTTATGGTTTTTTTTTTTTTCTTTTGTTAGTTGTGGGGCTTGAACTCAGAGCCTGGGCACTGTCCCTGAGCTCTTTTGCTCAAGACTAATGACTTCAAGCCACAACTTCACTTCTGGATTTATTGTGGTTAATTAGAGATAAGAGTTTCACGGACTTCTTGCCTGGGCTGGCTTTGAACCACGATCCTCAGGTTTCACCTTCACTGCATAGCTAGGATTACAGGCATCAGTCCGTGTGCCCGTACTATATGTTTTTATATATTCTTTTTCCTTTCTTTCTTCTTAGTTTGATTATTGGTTGCCTTGTTTTCTTTTGGTTACAGAAGAAAAAATAAAGAATTCCTCAAGAAAGAAGCAACATCTGTCTCATACACAGTCCTTGACAAGTCAGATAGCTGGAGCAGATAGCTATTCACTCTTAGGGGTCACTCAAGTCAGATAGCTGGAGCAGATAGCTATTCACTCTTAGGGGTCACTCATCCCACTTTGAAATCATAGCAAACTAGCTACAATAAACTGGCCAAGGGAACCAAGGCTCATGGTTAGCTAAAGAAATTGTCCTGTGGCTACAATGCTGCTGGTATTTTCACTTGGATTCTATTTTCTGGTTCCAATTACACAAACGCCGGGTGCTTGGTGCCTCCAGCTAGAAGTTGACTTTCCAGAGGTGTGCTTGATCTTCCATCCAACCTCCTAGCTTGTCCTCTTGTTTTTGTTGTTGTTGTTGGTGATCATGGGGCTTGAACTCAGGGCCTGGGCACTCTTCCTGAGCTCTTTTGTACCACCTGAGCTGTACCACTTGAGCCTCAGCACCACTTCCTGTTTTCTAGTGGTTTATTGGAGATAAGAGTCTCATAGACTTTCCCGCCAGGGCTAGCTTTGACCCGTGATCCTCAGGCTCAGCCTCTTGAGTAGCTAGGATGATAGGTGTGAGCAGCCTTAGTGTATCCTCTTAGCTACCACCAAAGGAGCAGCCCAGAGACTGACACTGATATTTAAATAAGGCCAGTCTCCTTACTCTAAGGCACAGTTTATATGTCAATTATTTTCACTCCATTAGATCTAAACTGGATTTTATTTAACAGAGATTCTCTCCTTGCTAGGCTCTAGCTTATCTCAATTCTTCTTTCTCTTACAGACTTTTCCTGCAAGACTCTCATTCAATGATCACAGCTATCTGAATTCTTGCTTCAAGCTCTCCCTCAAAGACATTCCTTCAATGATCATAGGTATCTGAATCCTTGCTTCAGACTCTCCTTTTAACAATTTAAATATGCTCTAATCTTATGCTATAATTGTAGATGCAGCATAAACATTCTTTATCAAGTATGACAAGATATTTTAAACTTTGCAACTCAATCAACAGTTCCAGTCAGCAACATAATAACTGAACTAAGCGGACACAAATTCTTTTTTTCTTTTTTTGTCAGTTGTGGGGCCTGAACTCTGGGCCTGGACGCTGTCCCTCAGCTCTTCAGCTCAAGGCTAGCGCTCTGCCACTTGAGCCACAGCACTACTTCTGGCTTTTTCTACTTATGTGGTGCTGAGGAATTGAACTGAGGGCCTCATGCATGCAAGGCAAGCACTCTACCACTGAGCCACCTTCCCAGCCCCATGGACACAAATTCTTAAACAGGAGAAAAAAATATTATATTATTTTTTATTTTTTGAGTGCTAGTCCTGGGGCTTGAACTCTGGTACTCGGGGCTGTTTCTGGTCTTTTTTGTGCTCAAGGCTGGTGCTTTACCATTTGAGCCACAGATCTACTTCTGGCTTTTCTGGTGCTTAATTAGTGATAAGAATCTCACAGATTTTCCTGCCTGGGCTGGCTTTGAACCATGATCCTCAGATCTCAGCTTCCTGAGTAGCTATGATTACCTATGTGAGCCATTGGTGCCTGGCAAAAATGGTTAATTTTTGATCAATGAAATCCCTAACTTAGCTCTCATTACTTTTTAAATGACTGATAGAAGACTCAAGTTTCTCATGATGAATTCCAATATCGCTTCATGAGTGGAAGGAAGGGATGGACTGATGGTTATCCCCCAGGGAGTTATGCCAAACCCCAAATGTGTCCAAGGGAGGCTGACCTCCAAATGAACTACACCTATAATAGCTGAATACAGGAAAGAGAGAAGAAAAAAGATTGGGAGCAGTTGCCTTGGGACATAATAAATGATCAGTTCTAATCACAGTTATAAACAAAGACATTTCTATTTGATAGAGCCATAATCATGCCTCCTAATAAACTGACCTCAACAGGACAGCATTTCTAAGACATTTTCCCCACACAGTGAATAAATCACCTAGCACCTAGGTTAATTCTCTCGCTGTTTCAATCCATTAAATGTAGCTATGTTACATATATATTAAATACTCAGGCAGAACACATAAAGCTATTCCAAGAGAACACCCTATTAAATATATGCTTCCTAATTATCTCTTATTCACAACTGTAGGGCCATTATCTAGCTTATGAACTGACATTGCCAGCATCTCCTCTCCAGCATTCAGGGAGCCTAATATGTGCTCACTGGCTGGAACCCATGCCATTTTTTCTTCTTTATTGAGAGTATCCTGTTTCAATTTCTTTTTTCTCTCAACGTAACCTCACCAGGATTCTAACAGAATTAATAATAAATTGCTATTTGATCCCAAAGAGTCAAATTATTTCTATACTGTACACAATGCAATGTCTTGTGGAAGAAAATAATTCCATAGCTTACTCAAGTTGCTGTCTGGTGCTCTTCCACATGAGTCGCACCTCCACTTTCAACTTTAGTTTTGCTGGTTAACTGGAAATAAAAGTCTCAGAGATTTTTTTTTTCTGCTGGGGTTGGCTTTGAATGCTAATCCTCAGGTCTCAGCCTCCTGAGTAGCTAGGATTACAGGTGTGAGCCACCAAACTCCCAGTCCAGTGTTTTTAGTTTCTATCCTCAATTTCCTTTTACTGAAACTAGTCAAATTCCAGAACTTTCTGTGGTAGTTTAGATTGTTTTCTGATGCCTACAGATTCATCAACTTACTCTAAACATGCATTCAGCTATATATTTGCTTCGGTCAGTAATTCATATTATGAAACTTAAAATGTCTCATTCTCTCATTCAGTGTTTATTGAGTTCCTGCTCTGTGCCAGTTTTTCTTTCAATCCTGCACTACAGGCAGGGCTAGGCATGATGTAGTGTATGGAGAATGGTGCTGAACAGAGAGGTTGGTGTGGCTGAGGGAAGGGGCAGGAGCCTGTACCTGAGTGTGTGTGAAGGGTAGCCCATTAGCACATAGTCTGAAATAACTCAGACACAGAAGAGCAGGTTCACTGTGTCAGCTGTTCAACTAAGCCTCTCCAGACCAAGTCAGCTCTTTATGCCTCTCAAGCTAGAGTTAGCACCAAATCAGAATGATCGCAGGAGACTCCCAAGCAGTTCAGCAACTTTGCTCAATTTGGAAGTGTGGTCGATAGAGGAATAAAAATGAGCGTCCTGGGAACTGTGTTATTCATTGTAAGTCCCAGAAAAGGGCTGATTTAGAAAGTGGTCTCTTCTTATTGCTTGTAGACTCCATTACTTGTTTCCCAAGCAATAGTTTCCAGCCTAAAGATCTCTTCTACACTTTCTCTTGGTTTGAACATTTATGCTGGCAAAGCACTTGTTAACTTTAGTGGGTGCAAAGGGCTTTTTACTTATTTATTTATTTTTCTTTCCAGTGTAAAGACTTACCTATGACACTGAGCTCGGCGTTGGTAAAGATAACCCCATGTTTATTTTCTGCCACGCACTGATACATGCCAGCGTCTGAGAGATTCACTATTGTTATGTTGAGCGTCCCTTGCTCGATCTGAATTCTATCCTGTGAGAGGAAAAGAGGGTATTGAAGCAATGACCTTCTCCAACTAAGATCTTAAGGTCATTTTGCTACGTGTTATATTGGGGAGGGGCGGGGCTTCATGAGAGGAAATAGCCATCCTGTAAGCCATTTACATAGCATGATTTATTTATCTGCCCACTGAACTTGCGGCAGGTCAGATGCTAAGTGGAACCATGAGCATATCAGTTGGTAAACGGAATTTCAATTGTAGGATTCTCTTGCATTCTCAGTGGTTTAACAGCGACGCCATTCAGATGAATATGCTCTGTGGAAAGAGCTTTAACTGGGGGGAAAAGGGTGAAAAATAGAACCACATTTATAGTTGAGAGTTTACAGAACTAAAATGATAATAAAGTAACCCTTCGAGATGACAATAATAGAATTATAATCGTCAGAGGGAACTTCTTAATACCATCGAAGATTACCAAAGAAATTGATGTTAATTATCCATTGTTCCCATAACTCACGACTATTAATGGTGTCATCGACATTTAGGACCATAGGAAAAACACAGCAGGTGGCATAAGAGTTCTTTCCTATTTGTCATCCCAAAGACAGGCAACTTGTTGACTCCTGGCATAGACCACCACGGTAAGCAACATGTGCCATTTTGTATCCATTTCCAGAAGTATCCAAGAGGCTTTCCTCTTTCCTAGGTTTGCTATTACAAATCTATTTAAATATGTAAGTATATGTACATATGTGTGTATATGTACGTGCATACATTTGTGTTTGTGCACACGTGTACGCATGCATTGGGGACAGATATACACATACATGCACACATAAGTACTAGGCTTCTGTTTGTTGAGGGAATTGCAGTTCTTTGAGTGGACATGTTATGAGGCATCCACATACCCTAAGGTAGGAAAATGGCAGTTACATATTGGCAACTTACACTCAGAACTTGAGTTTGGCTTAGTTCTTGAGGGAATGGTGGGTCCCAGGGGCCTACAGCCAGTAAAGAAGGAAAGTAAGGTAGGGCCTGTCCTGGAGGACCAGTCCCCATTCTCTTCCTGCTGCCCAAAGCAGCACTCATGCTTTCCTGAATGTCCTATGCGGGGAAGAAACCTGAGCAGGCAAAGTGGCTCTCAAGGTGGAGCCGAAGGAAAATGTCAACATCTAGTTAACATCTGAAGGTTCAGAGGCAAACACATGAAGGAAAAGGAAACTGGACACAACTGTTCCTCATTCTAAGGGCTTCCTTTGGCTGTATTCAGATGCCTTGGTCGGCCTTTTTCCTGTGTCACAGCAATACCACTCTTGTAGCACGACCCGCACCATTTTTCCATTGTAAATCCATATGTGTTCATCTGTGAAATCCAAAGAATATTAACTAAACAAAGCTGAACAATTAGATTTCTAGATGCTTTCTATCAAATTGCACTTAGTTTCACTTTTTCCACTGTTAATGGCCTTTAGTCACTTCTTATTTTGGAAACAACTCACCAGTTTCCTGTTTCCATAGCAACGGGACCCCCGTAAACATTAGAATCTATATGAAGGCACAATTGCCAATACTTTGCTTACCCGCGTTAACAGTGGTTCACCATTTTTTAGCCATCTGTATGAAGGCTTGGGCCTCCCATTCGCTTTACATTCCCAGAAGACACTTTCTTCCATGGCTACGTGGATATCATTTATTTTTTGAATCCAACTAGGCTGTGCTATAGCAGTTTAAAAAGCAAAGAAAAGGCATGGATTTAGTATATTCCATCTGATTTTTTTATTTTTTTACAATTTCATTTGCATGTGTTAGTGGCACTGGGAGTTTATTATGCTATTTCCATACGCACATATAATGTACTCTGATCAAGTGTTCCCTCCTCCCTCCTCCCTTCTTAAAGCAATCTCAACAGGTTTCATTGTTCTAGTCTAGTGTAAGCATATCAATGACTTCAACCATATTCACCCTCCTTCACCTTCTCCATCCACCACCTCCCACTGATACTCCATCTGTTTATACCATAGGAACTCAAAGGACAAAATGGGCTTTTTCCTGAAGTTGCTTTTCTACAGGTTGTATAAATAACAAAGCTGGGCCAAAAAGGTTCAGGGGAAACCAACTCTCTGTGTTCAGGGTTCATATAATTGGTCTTTTCTCTATCATTGAAGACAGAATGGATAAAACTTTCATTATCAATAAGCCAAAATCAATGGGCACATTCTCTTAAGTACTATTTATTTATTTATTTGCTTATTTATTTGTTGGTTGGTTGTGGGGCTTGAACTCAGAGCCTGGACACTTTTGTTAGCTTCTTTTTGCTCAAGGTTAGCACTCTACCACTTTGAGTCACAGCACCACTTTGGGTTTTCTGGTGGTTAAGTGAAGCTAAGAGTCTCATGGACTTTCCTGCCTGGGCTGGTTTTGAACCATGATCCTCGGATCATGGCATGAGCCACAGCCCCCATCATCATCATCATTATTATTAATTTTCTTTTCAGTAGGAGTACTTCATCCACCAAAACCATCCATTTTTGCCTGGGTCAGGAGTTCTCAGGCTCACGCTACATTTCCAAATTTTCCTGTACCAAGAGTTGAGTATGGGGTAAGTTCGTGCGAATTGTATGTGTGTGGAAGTAAAAGCAAGAGGAGGTGACTGCTGTGTTGTTTACTAGGGATATTTTCACTGGGTTCTTTTGGCCACTTCTCACGGATGGGGACATGGTAAGAAGCGAAGCCACCTTAGACACAGGGATGGAAAACATGGAGGATGAAATCACAGATTGCCAACTTTGCACCTTGAATGACCCTGTGAAGCTCAGGACTCCCAGACAAACTTGGTTGTTTTTGGAGAGATGATGACATAATAAAGAAATGAGAGAGCATCAGGAAGAAAGAAGCTTCTTCTGTGTTTTAGGATCTCTTTTGTTAGAGTAGTTAATCTTGTTCCTAATGAGCACATGTCCCTGCCACAGGTCCTACAGACACACTCTGTGGCTCTTCTCTCCTTCGAGCTATCACTGGCGCACATTATTCATTGAGCCCATAGTAACAGACTGGTATTCACAGACAGGATGGCCCCAGAAGCTGGAGTCATTCTTGAATGACTCCTGATTTTTTTTTTTAACCACACTTGCTCAGAAAATCCAGTTCTGCCCACAGCTTGTAACAGAATTCAAACATCACTCAATTCTCACACTGTGTACTGCTGAACACATTCCCCACCACTGACATTACACCACACTCTTTGTGCTTCAAGAAAAGTCACAGTTCTGTTCTTCCTTTCCTAGTTTCAGTGACTATAAAGACCAGAATAACTCTGTGTGTTATAAGCTGGGCACTGGTGGCTTATGCCTGTGATCCTAGCTATTCAGGAGTGTGAGATGTGAGGATCATGGTTTGACATCAGCCTGGGAAAGGAGAGTCTGTGAGACTCTTCTTTTGAATAGACTACTCAACAAAAGTCAGAGGTGGAGCTGTGGCTCAAGTGGTAGAGCTCTAGCATTGAACAAAAAGCTCAGGGATAGTGTTCAGGCCTGAGTTCAAGCCTCTGGATTGGCGAAAAGTCTTCATAAACATCAAGCCTTACCACCTCAATCACAATCATGCTGTTGACTACAATGACCTGTACATTAGCTAGAAGCCTTCTGCTCACACGGCATTCTGTATCTACTGATATAAACTTAACAATCAGAGTTGATAGCAGTGTCTACTCATTATTTATATATGTCTCTTAGGTGACTTGTCATTCAATAAGATGCAAAATCACCCACATTGTAACTCAAAAAGAAATTGCTGGTATTGAGGCCAAGCTGGGTATTTTACCTTCTCAATAATAAAACTTTTAACAAAAACAACAACAACAAAAAACTCTCCAAACCAAACACTCAGTGAGTCACTTAACCAGCAGAGGTCTCTAGGCCCTTACATAAACGCTGCTTCCCCCCCCCCCCCCATCTACAAGCAATTTCATGTTTTACACAGAGCAAAACACAATTTTACAAATCCTCTACTGATGGGGATGATGCATGGCTGCATAAGAGGGGAGGCCAAAGGGGTCAACTTCAAAAGAAAAGTTATAACATCAACAAGCATTAACTTGAATGAAGGGTTATAACCCACATCCTTGAAAGAGCTGCAAGTCTGTGGCTGCTTTATGTCATCCTGCTGCTAATGCTCAGGATGCTCAAAGGTAATACCTTTTTCCAGAGCTCTATTGGGAGAACCCAATGGGCAACGCTGATGGAGCTAATGGAAGTGTGTGCCTGATTTCACATTCAACCTGCTGAATAGTTACCCCCTACACATTCCACCGCCAACAAAGCAAAGGAGAAAAGCTACAGAAATCCCTGTGGAATATTAACAAGGAACTCAAACTTCTGAAAGAGAGTGGAGGTACAGTGGGGAAGGGGGGGGGTGGCGCAGGATAAAATGGAAGGGCAAATGTAACTTAAGGAACAATGTCAAGTTGAAGTTCAGAAAGGAAACTTCAAAACCACATGCTGGGATTTCAATGTCACAGAGGTCCTCTAACAATTGGGCTCCTTCATTACTTCCTTTCAGAAATTACAGAGCTGGAAACCAAACCTTGCTAGCTCACAAAGGAGGAAGGGAAGGAAAAGGAGGGACTTGAAGGAATCCTGAAGAGAAAGTGTTGAGAGTTGGAATTGACTAGATACTTGGAAAGATTCTTTCTGATTCTTGTCGCAGGTTATAGAGGTCAAGGTGCTTCACCAAGACACATAATGGCAATTGTGTGTGCTAGCCAAGATGAAATTAACAACTAATTTTTGTTCATGAACCACCAGTAGGTATTTGTTTTTAAGGTTAAAAATCCATTCACTGAAGCCAAATTGAACATGATCTGAGTGTCTTGCTCTTGAGGTGATTATCTGGACTGGGGCTCATGGGCATCAAGAATGGAATAGCCAGCCAGGCGCGGTGACTCATGACTATAATCTCAGCTACTTGGGAGGCAGGAATCAGGGGGTTCATGGCTAACCCTGGCAAAAGGCTGGTGAGATCCCACCTCAATCAATAAGCCAGGTATGATGATCTGTCTGGGATTCCAGGCACAAGAAAGATCATGAGGAAGAAAATCATGTCAGAGTATAGCTCAGACAAAAACATGAAACAACTCTGTAGGACAAATAAGGTTAAAAAAGAGCAGGGGACATGGGTTAAATAAAGCCTGCCTATTCACAAAGCCTTGAGTTCAAACTCCATTCCAACAAACAAACAAACAAACAAAAAGTAAAGAACAGAATATCCTATTATAAAAGCAATGAATAAAAGAGTCTTTTTAAATGGCTCAATTGCATTTTTATTGGACAAAGGCCACATAGTTATATATTTGACTCCTAGTCATGTAGATTAGATGATTCCTATCGAAGTAGGTTATTTTTTGGTATTTGAATGAAGTCCTGCGCATAATTGAGGAAATAGTTCATGTATTTCCATATGTCTATGGGTCACCATGTTGAACATTGTTAGATAACAAATATTCCAACTTAGTGCATTATGGAGAATACTATTTGTAATCCTGGGTATATGGCATTTACCACTTAATATCAAAGGTTCAATTACATTTGGGTATATGACATTTTTTACTGAATATCTTCTGGCTACATGGCATTGATTACTTAATATCAAAGTTCAATCATATTTTTCAACTATTTTTCAAATGTAAGCTCAAGCTCAAAGAAATGTCCAAGTAAGTTGATTTAGTAGTATTTTTTTCCAGAGGCATTCCTCAATATGCTTTGTTTGATAATGTATGTAAGATCCTTCATATAAAACCGAATTAAACAAATTCACATACTAGATAAGAAATGAGCTTTTGTACTCTTTTAAAGTTTGAAGCCAACGCATTCCTTCTCTAAGCCAGTCTAAATCTTGTCTCAAGCTATGAATTCAAACATAAGGTTAAATGATTGCATTAGGATCTGATTCTGTCATGATGCTAGTCCCTTAGACAAATGGCCATTCCCTTCATGTCATTTTTTTTGTTCAATAACTGCCAGAAATGATGTAAATCAATGTTTCTCTATTCCAGCCCCTGGAATCATATAAAATCATACCCAATAATAATATGTATTTCAAGCAGATACAATTTGAGCTCAATAGGCCAAACTATTCTCAGAGCTCTCTGGTTCTCTAGTTTCCAATATCAGAAGTTTCTTTTTTTTAAATTTTATTGTATTGTAAAGATGCTGTACAGAGGGGTTACAGTTACACGAGTAAGGTAATGAGTACATTTCTTGTTGGGCATTGTTACCCCTTCCTTTGTTTTTCTCCTACTATCCCTTCTCTCCCCCACCTCCCCCACTCCTCCCTTCCCCAAGTTGTAAAGTTCGTTTCCAACATAGTGTCTTGTAAATATCATTGTTGCAAGGGTCACCTGTGTCCTTGTTTCAGCATTTTATTATTCCCTTCCCTTGCCCATCCAGTGTGGGCTTTAGACCTAGAGATTTAAAAATCTAAGCAAAGTAACCATTGCAAAAAGATGACTCCTAGACATTCAGTATCATTTCTGATTGCTTCCACAGTCTTGGAGAAAATGAATCATTTTCAAGAAATACGGAAGTACGGCTTTCATGGCTTGTTTGTTGATAACGAGATATATGAACTTAGAGCTAACTAGTTGGGTTCAGTTGACACAACAATAGGTAGGTACACAACAATAGCTCTAAAATATTTATCTTTTAGCCTGGAATTTTTATT